AGAGAGAGGGAGAGAGATGAGAGGGAGAGTGCCCGATACTGATGCACAAATATTTTAGCACTTGGTAAATCTCGAGCGGCATTCATATGACAAGATGCAATAATCGATTCTAGAAAGATCATGGAATTCTGTGGCGCGTTACCAACCATTTCTTTGCATACGTAGCGGGAGAGCGGTGTGGATATCTGGATAAGGAGCAAGTGTCTGTATGTGAGAGCAGACGGAAGAGATAGACAGAGAGAGGGGGGAAGAACGAAACAGGAAGTTGGTAATAACCAGGATGAGAGCGGGGATCACGCCCATAAACAACAAACAGAATGCGCCGACACCACCCGCACACAGCACCCACCACCAAACACCACACACACACGACACCACACCAGCATCCACACACACTAGCACACAACACACACAACACTATATATATATATTATATATATATATAGTATATGGAGAAAGATAAATGAAGAGAGAGCGAGGAAGAGACACCGATGGCAAGACTAACCAAAGACAGAAGGACAGACACAAGAAGAGCGCATTACACATGACGACAGAGACAAAAGACCAGACAGAGAAACAGAGGCAAGAGCTACACAGAACCAGACAGATCCAATACAGGCGAGAGACGAGAAGGAGATTGGAGAGAGCGAGGAAGAGGACAGTACCAAGATAGGATGGCAAGCTTAGGCGGTGGGAGACAGAACGAAGACAGACGACAGAGACAGCAGGACCGAGAGAGAGAACGGAGAGACGCGGAGCGGCGCGCGAGGCATGAGAGAGAGCGAGGAGAGAGCCGAGAGAGAGAGAGAGAGAGAGAGAGCGCGCGCGAGAAAGAGAGAGAGAAAGAAGAGAGAGGAGGAGAGAGAGCGAGAGAGGAGAGAGAGAGGGAGAAGGGAAAAGAGAGAGAGAGCGAGAGAGAGAGAAAGGAGAGAGAGAGAGAGAAGAGAGAATGGGGGAATGTCACGTAATAATAAGCATACACGGCACGAGTTTTGCTTCTATACAACTTAGACTTCGGCGCTTTTGGAAGTAATCGTCTCCAAAGCTCCCGGTATGAATGTTAATTTCGTTTGATATATTTTTATCCTGACCGCCTACGTCCCACAACAGTACACAGGTCACCCTGGCTCGGTGTTCCAGTCTCGACATTGACCCAATTGTTGGAGATTGTAGTTACCATCTCGTTCAGTTTGAACTGTACAATATTGTTGTTTTACCTGAAGTGAGTTTTACTCCATATATTTGCATAATTCGGCGATTGTGCTGCGAATGTTGACGGACACTGAGACCCGCACCCACATATGCGACGCGCACGCACAGAACAACCCCACACACACACCACACACACTCACACGACACACACACAACATTGCACCGCACGGCGACACCACACACCACACCAACACACACACACACACACACACACACACACACACACGCGACGCAACCAACCACACACAGTAAACCCCACACACACACACCAGCTGGGCACCCACACCACACACCCACACACACGCGCGCGGCGCGCACAGACATGACCGAGGAGGATTGAGACACATTGGCCAAACACAGGGCAGCGCGCACACCAAACGCACACACTTACGCACGCGCGACGCCACGCAGCACGCCCACCCACCCACACACACACACACACCCGCACACACCCACACACACCACACACACAGACCACCCAAACACGACACAAATCTTTACAGGAATGATCCCTGCAATGATTAAACACATCAATATCGGACGATGTTGAAAGACCGTTATATACGGCAGAGCTTTTTTCACACGCGACTTTACCAGGACATTACAGATGTTTTGCCAGCATACGCGAATCTTAAAAGGACAAAGATATATAGAAAACCCCCATATAAGAAAGGGCCGGATCAATGACAGAGCCCATCATTGATTTTGAGATTGCTACGAAGGGATGACTGTAAGGCGATATCTTAAAATCTTATCTCTGTAATCTAATCGTCTGACTAGTCTTAAGACACAGCTATATACATGATTGTTGATCGATGTAACCTGTCAGGTCGGTCAGACTGAAAATAGCCGGAGTAGGCTTTTTATCATCTAATGATTTGCACCGCTGCTGGGCACTCGTAGATCATTTCGCTATACGTACTCAGCCTGCTGCGGTCTCGTGTCGCTAGTAGAAGGATTCGCGCTCGTCTGTAAAGCCCTCTGTGAGGATGCCGATAGATCTTGCGGATCGCAAACAATAGCATGTTTTTTTCTAACCACGGTTTGTCGATCGTACCTCGCTTCGGCGCGGCGGCTAGCCATGCTTCGAGGAAATCGAGCACTGGCTCACTTTGATTGCCGATTTGCGTTCCTGTTTTTTGTTGTTGTTGTCTTTTTGTCTAATTATGTTGGGTCGTGTGTTGCTGATGTTTCGATGTTTGATGTTCGATGTTGTTGTTATTGTTTGCTCGTCGTTGTTGTTTCTGCTAATGTTATTATGATTGAGTTGTGCGTGATGTATTGTTCCGCACCCGTCGGGCTAAGGGCGATAGTGCGAGACTTTAGTGTACGTCTCAGCGAGAGTAGGGTAATCCCACAATGGCAGGCGTACACGACAAAGCATGGCGGCTCGTTATCTAATGATAACCGTGTAAATGACACGGTGTCATGTACACATATAACTGAAATAAGTCTTTGTACTTATGCTAGAGTGAGAGAGTGAGAGAGTGAGAGAGAGAGAGCGCCACGTGGAGAGAGTGGGGAGATAAAAAACAATGGGAGTGTTTGCGAGGGACCTCTGGGCTCGGCTCAGCTACGGTCAGCTATGAACAGCTAACGTCATGCCTTGACGTCATACCAATAAGGAAGGTCCGGTCTGTCAATTCGGATTTTGATATCGGCTATCGATTTTGATCCTTCTCTGGTTAAAATGTTATTAGATTGTTCTATAGATGTACTTTCAATCGTGTATCGCTGTTTACGAGTTTGAGCGTGTCGGGATTACGCGTTCGGTGAATTAACAGAATTTATATAATATAGATGTATTTGTGATAATATGTAGGTAATAATATCTTAATCGTTTCTGTGTGTAGTACTGCTCACTGTGACAATAGAACGTGAAACATCTTTTTATTTTCATTTGATTCCGATCCAGTTTTTTATTCGATGACTGATATTAATTAACCAATATTATTATTTTTTACCTAAATGTGGTATCGACGTTAGCTATAATTGACTTCGGATTAATGTATTGAACCAAGATTGTTCGTGTATACACTACAATTTGAAAAATAAAACTCATGTCATCATCTCATACTTCGGAGATTTTTGGTCACGATAAAAGCACGTGGAATATTTGAACCTACATGGAGTGAGGCACAAATTAACTTCGATTAGCAGATTGTGTGCGTAATATATTTACTTGCGCCTAACCCTAACCCTAACCGTAACCCTAACTTCCGTAGCAACGCTAAGACACATGATACAGGAAATGCGTGATTTCAAAGTATTGTACCCATAATAATTATGTTAAAATTCCTCCGAAGTATATCAGGTATATTTTGCCGAGGGAAGGCGTTCATGGTTAATCTCCGTCAAGTTAGCTATATGTGAACTAATGTGCCTATTCTCAGTCATTCCTGAGTTGTTTTATATTTAAAAAAAAGAAGATCTAGAACAGAAAATACATGCGAACGAACAATCTAACGTTCATGTGTCAGGAATATGCATATATACATATACATAATATCAGAAGTGTCATAATAATAGGCATATCTATATTATGACACTCCTGATAATGTGACATTATAATTACCACCAGAACGACACGCATTTTATATATTTATATACAATTTATGAAACAATAGTAAAAACTATATTGAATGAGGATGGGCCCTTGCCTATGAGTATTACCCTGTACAGACTGAAAATTTTGATCCTATATCAAACTAGAGCACTCGGAGAGCACAGACCTCCGCCAAGGCAGCTGAATTCTCTCAATGTGAATTTTTTTATTAATTAATTAATTAA